GAGGACCCCCCCCCCTCGCTCGCCGCCGCCGACCCACGGCCCGCTCCAAGGCTCAGGCCCCCCGCGGGCCCGCCGCCTGCTGCGCTGTGCGTGGGCCGCCCGGAGGCCCAGGCAGCGTCCCCATGGGGCTGGGCTTTCGTCCCGGGGCCCCCGGGGCTGCGCCCTCCTCCTCCTCCTCCTCCTCTCCTCCTCCTCTCCTCCTTCTCCCCCTCCTCCTCCCCCCCCCCCTCGCGCGCCGCCGCCGACCCACGGCCCGCTTCTCAAGGCTCCGGCCCCCCGCGGGCCCGCCGCCTGCTGCGCGCGCGCTCTGTGCGTGGGCCGCCCGGAGGCCTCGGCAGCGTCCCCTGCAAGCAGGGCTTTCGTCCCGGGGCCCCTGGGGCTGCGCGATCGTTACAGTCAAAAACCCTCATAAGGACGCGGGGGGCAAGGACGCAAGACCCTTGGCAGCCGAAGTTGGGATTTTTGGGGACAACCGACACAGGATCGCGGGGTCGGCAACGTCCCCTGCAGGCTGGGCTTTTATTGGATTCAGGCAAGTTTACTTGCATGGCGTTCGCCCCCCCCCCCCCCCTCGCCCCTCTTCAAGCAAATACCAGCGTGCAAGTGCCTTTCGACTTGCGTGATTTCCGCGCCCCCCCCCCTGGGCTTGCTTCAGGCTCAGCCCCCCCCCCGTCCATGCAAGTAAACTTGCCAGAGTCTAAAACAACACAGGCTCCTGGGGCTGGGCTTTCATCCCAGGGCCCCCTGGGGCTGCGCGAACCTGGACGGCCGCGAGGGAACAACCGACACAGGATCGCGGGGTCGGCGGCAGGAAAAAACGTGATGACGATGGTCACAGGGCGCCCTTCTGGGCCCACTCGGCGTCTGAGCCACATCGGCCGCCAGGCCCAACGGCGATCGTTGTGTGACGGTCGACCGGGGCCCGTCGAGCGTCTCTGGAAGCCGAACGCACCCCCAGTCCAACCGCCCCCCATCTTTCGGGATCTCGGACTGGGGAATCGAAGAGGTTCCGACACTTGGAGGCATGGAAATGGGCACCAACACCAGCACAGGGGTCTGCCTCCACATGGGGAAGATGATCCTAGATTTCGGCGTTCGTGGTAATATTTCGGTCACATTGGAAGCCAGAGTATTACCACCATCGCCGAGATCGGGGTCGTCTTCCCTCGGTGGAGGCACAGCTCCGATCTTGGTGTTGGTGTCAACCTCTAGGCCTGCGAGACACCGCGCTTCCTCGGCTTTTCCCGGGGGTGCGTCCTGACCAGAATCTCGAGGGAAAGCCAGCGGTGGCGACGAGGGCCCCCCAGGGGGCCCAAACGAGGGGAAAACGGGCAGAGGGCAGCAGTATGGGTACCTTTTCCTCCTCCGAACTCATTCGGGGCCCTTGATGTCTGGGAAGCACACAGTGGGCGAACACTCAGAGGACCCGACCCATTTCCCAGAGGTGGTGTTTTTTTTTCCAGGATCCATGTTTGATTACCCCCAGGCCCGATAACGGGCCCGGGCAACGAAAACTTGGAAAAAACGCCAGATTGAAAAAAACACATCCACGGATCTTTGGGGGAATGAGGCCTTCTGCGCCACATCCACCATATTTCCCAATACTTTCTTGACTTCTGTCTTTCTCCCCACTTCCCATATCTTCCCATATTCTCTGAGGAATCGACGATTATGTGTATATATATATATATATGTATATGTGTATACATGTAGGTATATATAAATATATGTATGTAACGCCCAGGCCCTTTTTCCCGCCAGACGTGCGAAGCGATGCTATCTCTGGTGTCGACAAGTCTCCCGGCTTTACAATCACAGATCAGAAGGTCTCGAGCTCGGGACAGTACCCAACTCAAAACGCGAAGCGAACTCCCATTTCGTTCCTGTAATATTAAAAGGAGAGGGCGGCGGTGGGGCTGACGGTTGGCCAGGAAAAAACTATGGAACGGAGACGGCGTGTCACGGTCTTCTGCATAACATTAATCAGCAAGCTTTGTCAAATGTAACGCCCAGGCCCTTTTTCCCGCCAGACGTGCGAAGCGATGCTATCTCTGGTGTCGACAAGTCTCCCGACTTTACAATCACAGATCAGAAGGTCTCGAGCTCGGGACAGTACCCAACTCAAAACGCGAAGCGAACTCCAGCTCTTTTTTTGCATAGAACGGAACTTCACTCCAAAAACGCGCCTGGCATCAGCCGCGCCACAACTTCTGCACGCTCTGACTTTGTTGTTCTGCAAGCGCGAACTGGAAGCAGCGAGCGATGCTGGCACAGAGGTCGGCTGGGTAAGCCTCGGCCAAAAGCGTGAGAAAAATGCCGTCAGAACTCTTTCCTTGAAGCTGGTCGTGTGGGCGACCCGTGCGAGAGCAGATCCCGCGGGGGCCGTTGCAAAGACGGCTGAGGGGCTGCAAATCAACATGATCGTACACAATGCGGGTGCGTTTCCGGCACGATTGGCCGAATTGGCAAAAGTCTAACACGACCGTGCGGCATTTTCTCAGCAGACCCTTGAACTGTGGCGTCAGCCATATTCTAGACAAGTGAGGATTCTCGATGGCGACCGGCACTCGCACGGCATGGCACAAGGCAAATAGCGAGGCCGAGAACTTCATTAAAGCATTGCCGACCCTGGCCTTCTCAGCATCCCGAGGCGCCAGGTCAGGCAGGCCCATTACATGTGCATCACTTCGCAGCGGCGGGGGCCCAGGTCGGATGTCCCGCGCGCGGCTCCAGCTGTGGCGCGGGGTCCCCATCCACACGGCGGCGACCAGACCGTCGTTGACCCATCCTCGCACAATGCGCTGCACGCGACGGCGGGCCAGGCCATACTCATCGCCCCAGCGGAGGTCCCACTCGAAGACGGCAAACCCTAGGGCTTGCTGCCGCCGCCGCCAGGCCCGACTGAGGTTGCCCGAGCCGCTGAACACTTCGAGCGCCACGGCGCCGCCCGCACGGGCGGCAAAGGCCGGCAGCGCTTGCAGAGGGTGCCGCCAATCTTCTGGGCGCAGCCGACGGCGTGCTCGAAGGAGGGCATCAGCAGCTTGGCCAGCTGGTCGGCGATGCGCCCCCCCTTGCCGCACTCTGTCACCGAGCTGTCGGTCGCCCAGCGCCCGCGAGCTGGCACCTCTGCCGAGCTTTGGCGGCCGCGGGCGAGGTCGGCGGGAGCCCCGCCGTCTCGCCGCCGGTAGAGGCCTGGCGGGCCCCCGAACCTGAGCTGCTGGCCTGCCGCTTGGCACGCCTGCGCCAGCAGCATGTACTGCGCCCGCGCCGCCAGCTCCCTCTCGCCGACGTTGGCCTTGGGCAGCTTCAGCATGTTCCCGATGAAGCGGTAGAACGGCAGGTCGCCGACGATGCTCGCGTTGCAGGTGCCGCTGATGCTGGGCGTTTTCTGCTCCATCGGGAACAGCACGAGCGGCCGCGCGTCGTGCCCGGCCGCCCGGCTTGGCGGCGCCACCTGCCGTCCCGCTGGCGACGTCAGCTCCACGAGCTGGAGGCGCAAGACGAACATCACGGCGACGAGGCGCGCGGCGCACGGGTTGGCCGCCAGTCTGCTCGCCTCGGCGCGCGCGACCTCCCACAGGAGCGGGAGTCGGCTTCGAGGCGGCACGAGCCGCCTCCACCCCCCCAGGGCTCGGGCAAACCCGGGCAGTCCCTTCGCGACCAGCAGCCGCGGGTGGTAGTGGTGCAGCACCGCCTTCAGCCTGGGCCCCTCCTGCACGCCGCCGCTGTCGAAGAGCGCTTGATGGGCCCGCTCCAGGGCCACTCCGTCGTAGTCCGCGGCGGTCCCGAGGCGGAGGCCCTGGGTCGCGGCGAAGCTCCTGAACTCGGCGAGGGGGGTGTGGTAGACCCGCTGGTAGAGGTCCTCCGCGTTCTCCCTCTCTGTCACCGAGAGGCCCTCGCTGTCCGCCACGTGCCTGTCCTCGGGGCAACCTCCCGGTCGTGCGGCGGCTCGCTCCCCCCTGGCGGCCTGCACCTCCGGCCGCGAATTGACCCGCCGGGCCGTCGTCGTCGCCTGGGCCCGCCTCGCAGGGCACGCGGACGGCGCCGGCGGCTGCGGCGCCGCGCGCGCCAGGGTCGGCGGCGCGGCTGGCCCCGCCCACCGCTGCGCTGGCCCCCCCGGTCGGAACTGGCTGCCCGACGGGAGGGGCGCGCCCCGAGGCGCTGGCAGGTTCAGGGCACCTCCGCACGGGCGAGGGAGCCCGCTCGAAATCCGGCTCTGTCAGCCCTGGCGGAAGCCGAGAGCCTAGTGGTTTGAGCCCAAATGGCTTCGGCTGGTAGCGTCGAGAGGGCTCATCGGCCACGTTCAACTCAGACCGAATCCACCGCGCACGAGGATACAGATCGGCCGCAAACACCGTCGCCGCCTGCGCACTCTCATTAAGGCCACGCTAGACGATCGGCCTTTCTCGAGGGCCAGCACCTCGGACAGCCCGTCGGTCAGGAACAGGACTCGCTTGCCAAACTCACTTAAACCCCTGATCACGTGACGGGCCCCCCAGACCAGGGCGCGCCCCTCCAAGACGGGCATCGCCTCCCGACGCCTCCAGCGGCCGGCCGAGACGGTGGTCCAGGGCCCCTGAAGGATCTTCGGTCTGATCTCCGGGACAACCCCACTCCGGTCAACCTCGCCGAGGGCATCCAGGTGCCGGGCCGTCCCGACACGGTCCAGGTCATCCAGACCGGCCGCCGCGGCCACGTTGAGCTCCTCCCGGAGCGAGGCGCCCCTCGGCCGAACCTGATCCTCAGCCCCTCGCGAGAAGCGCCACCGGTCCGACCGCCGGCCAGCCTCCGGGATGGACTGGAGATCGCGCTCCGCCAAGCACACGCCCCGGCCCCAGGGGGGGGCGTCGAACCTTTGGGCCCCACTCGGCATCGAGGCGACGACGGAGGAGGGGGGGGAGACCTATTGCCCAGCGAAGCTCTCTCCGCACAGCAGTCCACAACTTACGACGAGTGTCGGCCCCCCGCTGAGCGAAGGCGTACGCTGCCGAAAACACGCAGAGAGCCTCAGGCCGAACGGCGAAAGTGAAATGTCCGATGATGGCCTCGAGGTCCCTACCGGTAGCGAAGCCCCTCTCCAGGAGGCCCTCGATCCCGAGACGGAGCCTCCACACTCTACGGGGGCTCACGCGAACCAAGGGGCATTCATCGCTAAAATCCCATCCCAAGACAGAGCCACCAGTCGAGCTCTCACGAGGATGCATCCTGAGCCCCGCGGCTGACAAGGCTTCGTGCACAGAATCGGCCACGGCGTCGACCTCTGCGGCCTGGCGACCAATGGCGGCGAAGATGTCTACGTATTCAGTGTGAGCAAACCCCGAGCGGCCAAGGCGAACTCCCGGCTTCTTATCCGAGAGCTTGTTGGCAGGGGTCACGCCGGGCTGCTGAAAGGCATGATACTCGTGAATTCGCTGGCACCACCGCAGGGCATGGTTCCACCCCATAGGCACAACACGCAGGTGTGGGTACACCAGCTGGGAGGGCGAGACAGGAGCTCCGTCGAGCTCGCCAACTCCAGCGAGTCCCGCCGTGACGGGTCGGAGGCAGAAGAGAGGCGCAAGCTCGGGAGGGAGGAGGTGATGGTAAAAAGCATCTTGGATGTCGACCTGCGCCAGGCACGCCGGGGGTCCGGGGTCGACCTCGAGAGAGGCAAAAGATCCGCCCGTGGCGAGGTCCACAGGGTCAGGCTGAGCGAAACACAGGTTAGACAGACGAGCGTCCACAATCAATCTCTGCTTGCCGTTCTTTTTCCACGCAGTGAACAGGCCTACTCGGGGCGACCCATGCCGCCTCCACTCGAGCATGCCTGCGCCGTCAAGGGCCGCGAGGAGGCGCGCGTGCCTGCGCGGCCTACCCTGCAGCGAAGGGTCATAGCATGGGCGCTTCAAGGCCGACTCGGCCACCCGCGCCGCCGCCTCCGATGGAGGCAAGACTTTGTCTTTCAAAAAGCCTCCGACTACCATTGGACCCTCGTCTCCGAGCAGCGTTGAGAGTGCCCGAGGACCGCCCCCGCCTGAAGGCAGGGGCAAGAGGGAGATGTCGAGCCGAGCGACAGACGCCTTCTCGCCGGTGTAGCTGCGCTTGGCCAGGAGCTCCGCGAGGGCTCCCTGGCGCGTCAGGTCGGCGGGCGGACGGCCTAGCTCGGCTACCGCGGCCTGGATCATACTCAGGCTGCGCTCCTGCCCGGCACTAGCCCGCAGGCCCAGCGGCTGCGGGTCGGCAGACCCGCGGTCGAGCTCGTTCAGCGCGGTGGCACAGCAGCGAGCCCAGTCTTCGCAATGAGCTCGCTCTCCCCGACGGCGCTGCCCCCGGCGAGACTTTGGCTGGCCGCCCTCGCCGCCGTCCAAGCTCGGCAGGCAGTAGTGAGGTGGAGGAAGGAGATCACGGTCGACAGCCCTCCCCTCATGTGAGCCACGTACATAGGTCCCGCCGGGGCTCATGTCCGGCGACCCCCCTGCGCACTCGCCGCGGGATCGGGGGCTCCCGCGGCGGCCCCGCTCACTGGACATGCCTGCCCGCGAGATGCCTCCCCTCGCGGGCTGTCCTCATCTGCTCCACGATGCCAGAGTCCCGCCCCAGCTCGGCCACCACGTGCGACAGGAGCTCCGAAGCCATCTTCGCCTCTCCGTACTCGCGGTGCTTCCTGCGGAAGATCGCCATCTCCTCCACGCGAGCGGCCCTGCCGCCCCTCACGTCCTGCCACTTGCCTGTCTCCGCCTCCCCGCCCACCTCGTAGTAGAATCACTCATCGAGCCGCGTCCGACTCAGGATGTCCTCGCCGCCCGCCTGGTTCACCGCGTCGCACTGGTCGTGGGTGCCTCGGCGCTCCAGGATCTTGGCCAAGATCTCGTGCCCCGTGACGCCCCACTGGTCCAGGCTGAGCCGGCTTTCCGCCTCGCAGCGGCGACCCCCGCCGACGGGACCCTCGCTGCGGTGGGTGGGGGCCTGCGGGCACCAGTCCGCCGTCGGAGGTCCAGGCACAGGCCGGTCCTGCTGCTCCGCCACGTTCACGTCGCACGCCACGTCCCGTCTTGGCCGGCGGCAAGCGCCTCGCGAGCCCCTCTGCATCTTCAGCATTCGGGCGTCATGGTGGGCCTCCTCCGACCTATAGGCCTCGACGTCGCCAGCGCCGATGTTCTCGATCAGCTCGGGCTTCTTCATCAGCACGTTGACCCCCTTGCGGCCCGTCAACAGCTCGGAGCCGTTGAAGGCCACGTCGTCCCCGCGGCGGACGTTCCCACCAGGGTGCCCCACGCTCTGCCCCAAGTGGTAGATCAGCTGCCGAGGGACTCTCTTCGGCACCTCGTTGCTCGGCCCCAACCATCGCACTGCCTCGGCATCGCCGCAGCCCTCGATGCGTCAGTACCAGGGCCCGGAAGGCCGAGGACACCAGTCCGGCGAGCAACACTGCCCAGTGCCACTCGGGGGCCCCGAAGATCACCAGGCGGCTGCGGGCGGCCAGGTGCAAGGTACCCTGAGGATTGCGCTGAAGCCGCATGG